GTCCCAGGAGAGTCACTCCTTACACAGAAGCCCTACTGTAAGGGGCTGCTCTCATGCTCCGTGTACAGCTACCTGGGAGGGGTCTGGCCATCCTGTTCTCTATCCCTAGCTTTGTAATGGAAACTATGGGATCCCATCAAAGCCAGGGTGTTGCAAGAAGCAGAAGAAAGGACAAAACAAAAACCAGGTGGAGTCAGGTAACTATTACTAAATGCTGAAGGAAATAAATGCTGATGTCTGGCAACAAAATTTCAGTGAACAGCTCTCTGTAAGTTGTTTCCCAAAGGCAAGCTGAGCAGAATAAAACTATTTGTTGGCAGACAGTGATACAGACAACCTAGAGGTAATTGGATACACTTCCTGTTAGGAAATGCAGAGTGTGTTTTGCTGTATGAGATGGTCCAACCAGTGATCCTTGTGGGTTTGCTTTGCTTTCCTAACAACAGAACTGGACCAGTGGGAACTCAGCAGAAAGACACAGCAACAGAGAACAGTATTGCCCACGGCTTAAAATCTGTTCAAAAGAAGTAATGTTCAAATAAAAACGATCAAAAAACTTTATATTGCCTAGGCCCATTAGGGATAATTAGCAGCTCTGGATAATAAAGTTTTGAAAGCCATGTTAGCCCACAGCTAGCACTTGACAGCTGGTGGTGTGCATGGGGAACGTGGCAGTAGCTGTTCTCCCTTTCTGTAAGGGCTGGGAGTCTATAAAGTTGAGGTGTTTGGTAAGCAAGTACATTAATTATCTGCTACTTACTCCTGTAAGATCTTGGGATTGTTTGATCTCTGAGGAGAAGAGCATTGACAAATGAAGATTATCTGGACAGTTGCAATTTTCTTGTTTAAAGTTCTCCCCAATGAACGAATGCTTGGACAGCTGTGAATTTTCATCTGAGCTTTCCAGAGGAGACTTTCTAGCCCAATGTGTCCTGCAAGTCTGTGGGGAGACATATGCAGCAGGGCTTGAGGCTTTTCGCCTTCTCTGCACACACCAAAAGAACGATAAAATAAAAGCTAAAATTTGTGTTAGTACCACTTTATAATTCACGCATTTGTTTCTTAGAAGCAATCTCATTACTTTCTGAATGTGACTTCTGGTAATCTATTTTTCTACGAACATGTACTTCAGATGTTTCTCCAAAACAGAGTGTGCCAGCACGCTGGTTAATTAAGGTTGTAAAGGTGAAAGCAGCCAGCCTTTCACAGAAAATTAAGTATTTCTGTCCAGCCACAGCTCAGGTGCTCTGTCTGTCTGTCACTGGGTGCAATAGTCTCCCAGCCAGCTGGATAGGTACCATTTTACTCCATGTTTATTCACTGAATATTATCCCTTTGTGACTGTGGTTTACCAAAAATGAAATAGGTTATTTAGTATGTCAAGGAAAATCTACTCTCAACATAGATTTTGACCAGTTCCAAGGCAAGGCTGCACTGCATAACTCATTAATCTTTCTTGAGGGCAGAGAATTTCTTCCTTTTTTTTGGATGTTTTGCCACTTCTCTGTCATTTTAAACTCTTTGGACCAGTGCATGACAGCTCTATATCTAAAAAAGGAATGTGTAAGGTGTTTCTATGACTCCCATAAAATAGTAAAAAACAAATTTGAATGCACAGTAACTGGCATCAATATTGGTCACTGTAGTCAAGGATCCTCTCTGTGCCAGTAGTCAAGTGTCAGATGTTTCACATATATTAAAAAAATAAATAACATTTGAGTTATGCAATGATGTGAATTTTGCTGTAATTTTTCTTCGCCTAGATGCCTTGTTGATCTATTTTTTAATGTTCTTCATGGTTATTTTTATTTAGAATGGCATAATAAGGAAATACCTTAGTGTTTTAAACTTCTGCTGTGCTTTAAATCTCATTTGTAACTTGAGGTGTAGAATTTCACAACTGAATCATGCAACTCTATAAAGAAGTTGGTTTTTTTTTTACAAGCTGCACGTGGTGTTACATCTTAATTTCACCAGTCACACTAGTGCTTTTGTTTGAAGGATAAGAACAGCTAATCAATTTCTCTAACTCACTATTGAAATTAAAAATTTCAAAATTAAACAGGTGCACACATGTGGAAAGGCTCTAAATATCTTTGAGGGTTTTGTTACCCTTCTGTGGACCTCTGCTATATCTATTATATCTTTCTTCTCTGGTGGTATCAGCAAGCTCTGGTCTTGATAGGTTGTCAGCTTCTCTAATAGCACAGTATTTCCAGTGCAGAAAACTGAATTTCTTTCTCAGCTACACTTTTTTTTTCCATTTGAATTGTCCTCTAGGTACAGTAGTTTAGGATTATTTTTCCTTCTGTTTGCCTCCAGAGAACATGAGACAAACTGGTAAGCTTCCTTGTCCTTCCTATTTCAAACTGTCTTGGTCTGTGCTTGGTATTTTGCATTAAACACTACAGAGGTGTTCTTAACTTGGCTACAGCCTCACAACTCTTGTTTTAGCTGGTAATATTTGCTCATATTAGTCTATGTTCAGTATAACAAGGGATAGCAAATGATATTAGGCACTGATCTCTCTGTGAGCAGGGACAGGACCGAGGGAACAGCATGAAGCTGGGTCCAGGGTGGGTTAGGTTGGATATTAGAAAAAGTTCCTCCCCCACAGGGTGGCTGGGCACTGAACAGGCTCCCCAGGTCAGTGGTCACAGCACCAAGCCTGACAGAGCTCAAGGAGCATTTGGACAACACTCTCAGGTGGAATTTTTGGGGTGTCCTGTGCAGGGCCAGGAGCTGTACTCAATAATCCTTGTGGATCCTTTCCAACTCAGGATATTCTATGATTCTATTATCCTATATAAGTGAGAAAACTCCCATCCTAAGAACATAGGGACTTCTCCAATGGAGATAAAGTGTGAAAATGATGTGGCTTTTCTGAGGGCCTCTGGAAACTGGAGTCCTGGAAACAGGATGCTGACGTGGAAGGGGAGCAGTAGGAGCTGTAGGGCCTCACAGCCCAACCCGTTTGCAAAGCTGCAGTGCAGGTACTGCTCACACAAACTACCTCTCTTGCAGCAGCAGTTGCTTTTCTGTAGTTCTAAAGCCCAGGTGTTGTGAGGCTTCATCCAGGAGACACAAAAGGCACTGTGTGCCCAGTCACTGACAACAGTGCCTGAGGCATCTGGTCCCACAGGTAACATGTGAATGAGGTAACACAAATATTACTGGGTGATGGAGAGCTCTATGCAATGTGAATTTGAGGATACCAGCTACAGAGATGTCAGGAATTGCTGTTGGTTCAGTATAGAAGCAGGTAAAATCAGATATGGTAAATAAGCACTGCACCAGTTGCCTAGGATTTTTGAACTGTGTGGAATTGGCAAGAGTGCCTCATGCATAAAGAAGGACTATTAAAATGTCCAGATTGCAATGCAAATGTTCTAATTTTACACATAGTTTCTTTATTTTGGCTGGATATTTGATTGTAGATGCCCCTGCAGATACCTTTGAAAGCAAAGCTAACACTGCTCCTGAGAGTGGTGACAGGACACCTGAAGTGTCTTAGAAGACCTTTGAGCAAACTTTGTTTGCTGTGCAGGTGAGGACCTGTAGGAGAGCAACAATCTCAGAACGAGGATGACCTTCTCTTTTCCCAGTGCACCAGAGTACCCAGCCACGTGCTGAGTGTCTCCAGGTCACAGAAACAGGGAACAGCCCAGGTTGGAAGGGAACCTGAAAGATTATCTGGTCCAAACTTTAATCACCACCAGGTCACTGGGGAAAAGGAATACTTTGATGAGGCTGTGGATGGGCCAGAACAACAGTCAGTGTAGAAGGTGCCACATCTACCTCCAATTTTCCTTTGGTTCTCCTTGTTGTGTCCTTTTAGCAGTCTCTTTGGTGTGTATACTCAACAAAGGAAATTATATGTTCTTACAGCTGGCTCTATATTTTTCCAGATTTAGGAACTTTACCTGGCAGCATAGAAGGCCAGTGACAAAGTTTTTCTTTGCTTGCTGAGTCAGCCCAGAGGTCCCTCAGAGCAAAATTATATAGGTCTGCTAAATGAGATCTTAAAATGAGAATACAGAAACAACATTACAGCTTTCAAATCTTTCTGATTGAAAGCTCTAACTGTATATCCAGAGGGTGAATTATATTGCTTTCATACTATCAAGCTTTCAGGACCCATTCGAAAATTTGCTTGAAACAGGACCAGAATGACATCGTCTCTACCTCTTTTCAAAAGAAAGGAAGGGAATGCTGAAGTAGTTTAAAGTCACTGTGAGAAATAAAGTTAGGACTGGCAGGCCATAAAAGTGGGGGTTCCTTATGCTCCCTTCTACTCTGTTCAATAGGGACCCAACCAGAGACGTGAGAGAAAGATTTCCACTGATCACACAATTCCTAGAAATATTAGAAAAATAAGATAACCCTTGTGTAACTCTCTTTTTAGAAAAGTGATAGTTCAAATCAGACATGATGATTTGTATAACGCAGCACTTTTGTGAGCTTTGTCCTGATAAATACTAAAAATTAAAGTCAGGAGGATGTTTTGTGCACATTTTTTTTCCTAGATTTATTTAGGTTGGAAGAGACCTCTAAGGTCATTGAGTCCAACTGACTCATGGTGCTTCAGATGGCTGAGCACAAACCCGACTGATAGCTCCTTTTTAAATGATGGATGCCTGGATGAAAGACAGGAATTGTGTCTGTGGTTGATTCAGGCAGCAGGAATGGTGAAGACCACGTTCCTTTCCAGCATTGCTTGTGCTCCTTCAGCTATATTTATTATCCAAGTAAGAGAAAGAGAGTCAAGCCTTAGTGTGCTTACAGGGGAGAGCAGTGCTTCCTCAAAAGGAGGGAAAGAGCTTGAACTAGTGCCTGGAAGGTGACTGGGACTCCAAAATCTGTATTTACTTGACCTTCAAAGTAAGAATTTTCTTCCCATCTCATGTGGGCAGGAAAGAGTTGTGTCTGTCATGCCATCGATTCTGCTGGTACCAAAAGCAGTCAGGTTTCTCCATCTAGCTGAGGATCTCTGTGTGGGTAAAAATGAGGAGAAGAGCAGAAAGGAAAAACAGTAGGGACCATATCTTCTGTCCCCCTGAATGACGAGATTAAAAGGGAAAATTATCTGCAGGAATCTCCTGTCATGTTCTGGTAAGACTGGTATTTCATGGGGAGGACATAATGCTTAAGGGTACACTATTAATGCTCTGTGTATTAGCAAATGGAAGAGAATTGCTCTGTCACTGTAGATAAAACAAATATTTTGAATTATGAATAATACAGATAGGCATTTTAGAGTCAGGTCCAGCATGTACCAGAAGAAGGATCTCTTTGTAAACGACTGTGCTTCTTTTCAAACACTCACCCATAACTATTACCTTTCATTAGAGATTTGCTTTCTTTATAATATTCCGTTTTTCCCAGCATTTTTGAAAGCCCAGCCTCTTAATCTAATGGACTCAAAAAGCTGCTTCCCTGAAGCAGCCCTTTTAGTTACTGTTTACTACAGTCTTTTTATGCTTCAGTTTGCATTAGCTCTTTCTGTTCCGTCCCCTGTGCCCCCATCTTTTTCTTTCCCAGCTTGCCACATTTTATTTCATGGGAAATAAAGTACATTTTTGTTTTGGTTGGGCCCATTCAGAAGTTTTTAGGCCATCCTAGAATAAATTTTAAGTTGTGTCAAATAGAAAGTTCATGCAAAAATGTTCAGCTTGGGTGCATTTTGCCATCACTTTTTCCTTCCTTAAATTGTCTAAACCCATTAAATATACTGGAGGTTTAAAGCTTAAAGTATCTTAATATAGGCTAGAGATGTAAGAGCTTAGAGCAAATCCTCTCCAAGTTTATGAGCATAGAAAGAAGTTAATTAAAGCTAACCAAGAAAATACAAATGGTAGGAAAAAAATCCATTATGAAAAGCTACAAATTCAGAATCTGTAACTGTTAGTTTCCCATGAATGATGTTGGGACAGGTCCAAGTTAAAGTTTACATTTCAGAGTGGGTGTTTTTTGATCACAGAAATGATGTGCCATTTTGCCATACCACAACTCCTCTTTGCCTTAGAACCCTTTTACTTTCAGCCCCACTCAGAATGTTTTACTGCCTGTCCAGTACCTGGTGCTCTAAAGGGCCATTTGTATCACTACAAGGCAGATGGAGCTTGGAGCATTTGCTAAAGCAGAAGTATTCTGGCACACCTATTTTGCTGTTGTTTTATTTCTGTATATTATGTCTATTTTATGTCTTCTGCCTTTGCAAATAGTTTTATTTCACTCTTGATACCTTCAGAAAAAGGGGTACTCTGAATTCCGAGAAAAATGGGTGAGAATATGTAAAGCTGTGTGTGATACATCCCCAGTGTGATATATCCAGTTCTCTGTTTATTAATGTTGTGTACTGTAAATGCAGTTTTTAAAAGAACAAACCTGGAAATTCTAACAGTAAATGTAAATATTAATTTTAATGTCTCCTTTAATCAGTTCATTGAAGTTATTAGTGCTCATTATCCATATCTAGGTGAATAAGGACTCATTTGAGGTCTCTTGGCATCCCAGATTGGAGCCTAAGCAATTTGCAGAGCCAAAGCCTGGACGTTCAGCTGTGCAGAGTGAGTACAAGGCTCACAGAGTTTACTGTGGGGGATGTGTGTGGATCTGTGGATGCCAGGTGCTGGAACAGTAATGATTCCTTATGTGCATCACAGGGAATCAAAATAGGAATAAGGCATCTGTTGTAGTCCTAACTACAAATGTACTGATGTCATAAATTAGTACCTATGGACTTGACATCTAGGAACTGCTAATCTTCATGGTGAAGCTCTCTCAGAGAAGTCTTTCATAGCTCAGGCACAGAACCTCTGTGTCAAATTATGGAATCATAGAAATTTTTAGGTCTTCATTATTGGTTGGGATGAAACTGCTTTAGGGACAAAAATGTAATGTTCATTTCAGAAACCTCCTCCCAAGGTTTACAATTTCAAAGTACTGTTTCTACGTTTTTATCCTTTTTAGGACCAGTGATAGCACATGGAAATGTATCAAAAAAGGAACATGGCTTGAAAAAGGCAGTTAGTCTAGAAAAATATTTAGTACTACTTCAAACCAGTTGTAGTACCTGCTGAGATACACTTGAGTGTGTGTGGACTGGCCCAGCAGTTGGATTGCATTAAATTGTCATGCCTGATGTCAGACAGGTTTGAAAGGGGGACAGACCATGTTTGAAATCTTCCCAAGCAAAGGTTGCTAAACCTGCCCACTTCTGAGCAGGTACAGCCTGTGTGAAAACTCCTACACCACTTAAAGGCAAAGTCAACCTGGAGAATTCCAGATCACATGTTTCATGTTTGACTCTGCAGTAGGAGCTGCCTTCAAAAGTAGCCAAACAGTTGGAGTCAAGAAGCTTTTAGAAAATTGCTTGATCGCGTCTCACCTTGTGAATGACTTGAACTGAAATGGGCCAAAAGCAAATAGATGAGCTTAAGATTGCTGCTCTTTTTTCCCCCTTGCACTAAAACAGCAGCAGGTCTTAAATATTCAGGAGCTGCCAAAGGCAGTTTGGGAAGGCACAGTCTCTGTGCTGGTAATTACATCTCCCAGCTGAGCCGCCGTGACCCAGTGTTCGAGCACCCTCCTGAAAAATCAGAAAGTATGAGTCACTCACAAAGGCCCAGTGCTGCAGCAGGCTGAGTTATACTCAGTTTATGATGGATTAGACTATTTTCTACAGAATTGCTGTCTGCCCAGTTGTTCTTGTCCCTGTATTTGCGCCATGACTGTCCCAAGACTAGCTCTCTACCCTTATTCTTACTGGAGTCCTTTCTTTTCGTCAGGGACTTTGAATGATTCGTGCTCTAAATCATGTGAGGCATTCCAGAGGTCTGCCGTTGAATTAGATCTAATATGCAAGTGCACATTATAATATAACACCAATGCAGGGATACATAGATACTTACTTCAAAATTTGCCCTCTTGGGTGAAGTTATAGAGATTGTCTTCTAAATATCATTTCAAAATCTTGGAGCTATGCTAGACAAGAAACAATTAGGAGTTGTTACATTACCCAGGAAGGCCTTTTCTGTATCGCTAGGGTTTACCAGCTTCCTGGGATTTTGCACAGAGCAATGAGGAATAGAGTGAAGTTGCTGTGGCCAGGATAACTAATAATAAAAAGCACCATACTAATGCAGTGTTTTGGTACTTTGAGGCCGACTGGCTTGGAAGGCAGATAGAGTGTTCCCTTTTCCCTCATTAAAGTTCTCCCCAATTAACTTTTAAACTAAGCAGTGGTTTATCAATGTTGATTGCCTGTCTTTAGTTTTCTGTTAATAGTGGAATGTTTTTGCTTTTGATTAAGGTTGGTTGTGATGAATACAAGCCTGTGCTTAGCTTCATATCGAGCGACCATTTTACTATCTTAGATGTTGTCATTTTTCAGACCCCTAAAAATTCAGGTTCTGCACATGCCACAAAAGCATCTTGCAGATGAGTTTAAAATTGATTGAAACAGTATTAGAAAATGGAGGAGGAGGGAAAATGATGTCCAGAGACTATGTGAAATGACAGAAAACTTCTGCTTTAGGATATATCAAATTAAGAATGATTTGGTATTAAAAACAGAAAAAGATGGGATGTGTATAAAATAACTTGAAATCCTTGTACATATACTGTCTCAGAGGAGCACAGTTTAGGATGAAGAGTTATGAAAAACTTAGCAGGACAGTTCTAATCATAAATAAGAGTGCAACCATTCTCATTGTCCTTCTCAATAAAGAAGATGCTGAAGTCTTCCAATAAAATCCCAAGTTTTTCAATTAAACAGAATATATGAGTAGATGACATGATTAGTCTTTACTTTTCCACTAAGATGTTGATTTTGAGTATTTGAATCTATCTTTAAAAATATGCTTCCTGGGACTCTAGAAATGCCAGTCAGTCCGTGGATGCCCTGTATATATAAACCATAAATTATTATAAAGGGATTAAACCATTTCCAATACAAAACATGAATCACTGGGCAGAGGGCACCAGCTCTCAAGACAATTGCATGAAAAGCCTTGAGAGATAGAAGAGACTAAATCCTTGGCATTTCAATTGAGTATGGCTGTAGTCTGGAATTTGATATAAGGGGAGACTGATATTTGAGATGGTTCCTCGAGCAGCCCAGGAAAAACACCTCTCAAAGCAGGTACAAAATGTGCCAGGATTGCCAGGGGTTGATGAGCCTGATGCCAGATCTTGAGAGAGAGCCTCTACTAAAATTATTGGGAGGAGCAGGTATTCAACAGTATTTAGCCCTGAGCATTTATTTTCTCCTGTAAAATAGAAAAGGCACGTTGCCAGTGCGTGCTGCCCTCACGTCAGATTCCGAGATTCCAGCCTGCCCCCTGAATCCTCATGGCCTTGCAAAGTCAGCCTGGCAAGCCAGGCCTTGTGTCGGATTTCTGTGCAGCATAAATGGATTTGATGGGCTGATCTGAGGCTGTTTCATGTTTCCCTGGTTTTAGATCATTAGAGGCTGCTTTTGCACTTTCTCTGATTCCTTGCAGCCACCACAGGATTTCTCATCCTTGCCAGTGCTCTGTTCTCGCTTCTCAAGTTGTCAAACTGACTACACAGGCAGTCAAAACTCATACATTCCTGTCAAGGTTTTAAATTATTTATTGTTAACCTCTCACTGAAAATTAGGCTGCTTGTGTCTGTGCGGAAGAGAACAAAAATTAACACTTTACCGATTGCTAAAGAAGTCTTGAAATACAGACAGGAATTGCTGTTAGTTATGAGCAGAATAACTTGATGCAATATAGACTTAATATTCCCTTTTTTCTTCCTAACCAATGCCATTTCCCTGGCTACCATTCTCTTCTCCCCACAGTTCCATAGTCTCTGACCCAGACACAGTCCTGCTTTACTGCTGCTCCCAATGTACTTCTCTTAGATTTCTCTACTTGAGAGATATAATTAATTATACGTGGCATCAACATACTCATAACACGCAATCATGGTCATGGACATTCTCTGCATGAAGAAGGTGGCAATACAGGAAAGGGATTGTCCTGCAGTTTAAAGATCCATGGAACAAATCAGAAAGGAAAATCTTGCTATAGTACTTCAGAAGTATTTAAGAGTAAGGAAAGGATTTAAAAAGCTCATTTTAATTCAAATGGAATTAGATGATATTATTTTTTGAAGTTGGTGGTATGAAGCAGATATGAAATAATCAATACCAGTTATATATGTGTCAGATTTCTTAACACACCACAGGTGTAAAATCGTGGACATGCATGCCACAGGATGCTGAGGAAATTTAGGAAACCACCTTCTGCCTCAGTGCTGCTGTGAACAGAAGCTGTTTTATTCCTCTGCAGTAGTCATGCGGGTACATGTAAAAATGAAATGGCTGATTTGTATGAAGGCTACATTACTAAGTATGTAAATTCATGTACTTACCCGTATTTGCTTTACTTTATATTTATATAAATGTAAACAAAATATTTATATAGATTTATAAACATGAACATTTATATAAATGTATTATTCTTCTAAATATATATTAGATGATATATTTTGTGCATAGCTGTACAGAAAACAGTAAAATAACAGGCAGAAATGTAGCAAACATAAAGAATGTATGGTTAATCTCTTAAAAGTCATGCCTGTTATGACTGTACCTGAGCCTTGTGGGCTAGTACAGAGACTGAGTGCTTGCATTTGGTGCTTCTTGATTCCCCAAAACAGCCCCTGTGTCTGTTTGCTCTGGGATGTGACTGCTGCCTGCATCCTGTTTAGGCCTGTCAACTGTTATTTCTAGGAAACAAAGAGTTTACAGCTGAAAGAAAATACTACAGTGATCTGAATACTCCAAAAGTATGTCTAGAAGCTAGATTTTTTTTTTGAAGTTCACAAATACATTTTAATTAAAAAGCAAAATGTAGGAAGATACAGAACCTGAAAACTGAATGCTAGGAACTTTAACAAATCACATGAACTTCTGTCTGTTGAGATTTACTGTGAGCTGAGTCGTGATCTTCCTCTAAGTTCTGTGGAGTGGAATCCTCCAGGGGCCCCCTGGAGCAGTAAGGCTGTGTGGGCAGCGGCTGCAGAGACAAAAATCCATCTTCCAAGAGGTCACTGTGTCCCGAGTGAACTATTCTGCTGGGAGAAATTATGTCAGAAGTTCCTGGGCTGACAATGCTTCTGCCTTGCAGGCTGCCAGGTAACACATCTGCAAGTTAAGGTTGTTCCCGTGTGCATCCTGGGTGCTGAGGTCCAGAAGAATTATTTTTCAGGGTCAGCAGTGTCAGCTTATTCCAGCTTACTCCTTCAGTGCTGCTGAAGTACGGGGAGCCCTAAAGCTCTCTGTCTGTGGTTTTATGGAGCCATAGCCCGAGTGTGAAGGCTGGATCACAAAGCTGGCTAATTTAACTGCCTTTGGCCAATTTTTTGGCTTCGCCCTTGAGCTATTCCAAGTGCTTCCAGTGGACCTAGAAGTGAGCTTAGAGTGGCCCTGTGGGGACGATTTTGTCACAGGGCTGCTGGTACAGGACTCATCATCATGGCTGGGCTTCACAAACGAAGATTTGGGAAAGGCTCTGTCCACGTAAGTGTTGTGAAAAGGCCTGGAGACTTCATAAAGACGACATCTGCCAGGAACTTAGAATGTCAGAAGGGAGAATGAGAGAAAGTTGAAAGGCAGACTGCTGCCTTTCTTCCCAAGATGTTCATTCTAGTGTATAGCTGGTTTTATATTTTCTATTTAATACAAATTAATATTTCAGCCTCTCTCAAGCTTCCTATTAAAATAAATTATATAGGCTTCCTTATTCATTCCTTTATGGAATTCAAGATATTCTGACATTGTCATAAGATAATATCTTTTGAAAGAAGTCTGCTTTTTTTTGATACAGAAATAAAGTGATTTTCTAAATCACAAGGTCAGTGAAAGTCCTGCACAAGACACACTTGGGAAATGAATATTTCTCAAAGGGGTAGCTTAAAAAGAGATATTTTCAATAAGTACAGTCAGAGGATTTTAAAAGGCACAGAAAAAGAAGAAAATGAATTGCAAAGTACATTCTGTGTTAAATCATTTTAAATTCATGTCATAAGTACAGAGGAAAAAATATATGCATTAATCTCCTAATGGGTGTGTACATATCTTTTGCTGGAAGGTTAAAAGTGGTTTACAGCTACAGCTCTGGATCTGGGGAGACCTGTGACAGACTTACCAGTGACTTAAGCCAGATTAAATTGGTGATGATGATAGGCTGTCCAGAGGTTCACGGTTTATTCTTGCACAAGAACTTCCCTATGAAGGCACTCAAGCTAATTCCTCGGCAGCTCGTGGTTTTAGGTGCAGAGAAACCTAAGGAAATCTCCAAATGAAAGTATAGCAGAAACAAAAGTCTTCTGAAAATTCTTGCGTGAATGTGGGAGAACGATTGAAAAGTGTGCAAACAGCATTTGCTTCTTCATTAAAATGTAATAGCTTAAAAAAATATTGGGAATTGGTTTATTTTTCTTTCTCAAGTTAGTTTTTCTTATCTTTTAATAGTTTTCAACTGACTGGGGGGGGGCAGCTCTGAAACTGTGTTGTAGTCCAGATGTAAGGAACACAGTATTCAAACTAGAAACGAAACTGATATTATTGGAGAGTTCAATTAAAAAGATGAAAATATAGATAATGTCTGATCTAAGACTGAGCAGACATTATTGCAATTTGTAATTGCTTGTGGAGGAGGACTTGGGAGCTTGCAGTTGACGTCAACAGCAAAACCCCAGAGAGTTTGGAAAGAATCACAATTAACCTTTTTCAAAGTAATTTGAATTTTGAAAGCAAAGGAAGTTATCTGGTCCAGACTGAAGCTACACAAACCTCAGAAGATTTTGTTGCCTCTGGTTCCTTTTTCTACAGGTCTTTTTTTTTTCTGTAGTCTAGAGAACTATGTTTATTTTTTTTCCTTTTTTTTCCCTAAAATTAAAAATGCACGCAATTCCACAAGCCAAGAAAAGCTAAATTATACTTGGAGAGTGTTGCAAATGTATAGCAGATCGGACCCTTTTGCTCTCAAATGTTTGTGTTGGTGTGAACAGCTGTATTATCTGTAACCTACAAACATTCTTCAGAGAGATGAAATACCTGTGGTAGGTAATGGGACACAGTTTGAGGGCACGCATTTAATTCATCTGTGTTGCTGTGCACGTTGAGACAAGGTTGTATTCTCTGGTTTTTGGCAGCAGGTGTCTGGTAGCTGGTTGATTTGTCATCGTCTAAGCCACTTCATCCTGATTTATGCTCCTAGAACAAGTTGCTGTAGTCCTACACCCTTGGGAGTGCCCGTAACTTAGAGGTGCTGTGACCTAAGATCAGCTCACCCATGCAAACCACACCCAGGCACCTTGTGTAGAACTAATATCTTCAGTTAGTGGTGTGTATGTGGATTTTAGAATCTTCAGTATATTTGTCCTTACCATTTTTCTCTCAAGTCTGTAAGGGAGAGGTGGTTTCATGTTAGGGCTGTAACAGGGACACAGAGATAGCAGTAGTCCCAGAGTCACATGGAAGTGTGATGCAACACAACCTCTGACATGTCTGAAAGTCCCAGGAAAAGATCTCTACCAATGACTCACCTTTTATCTTCCAGCTCTCCAGCTATTCTCAGAGAATCCCTGTTGTTTAATGTAAAGTATTAAAAATCAGAAAGGATTTACTCCCCCCTGCTTTTTCATGACTTTTTTTTTTTTTTTTTGGTAATCAAAGGATACTCAGGGATCATCCAGGTCTCTGCTGTAGATTAGTACAAATACATTCAGTAAAGTTTAAACAAGCCTAGAGCTGTGTAATGTTTTTACAGGTCATGACAGTATAATTCCCTTTCCATCTGAGTACAGTAATGCTGAAGCTAGACTTGCTTAATGACATGATTATATCACCAGTTCTATTAACGTAAGTGAAAGGGGATCTGCCATTATTCTTGCTAGGTCTGGTATGTGTAATTATAAATATCAAATTGCATTTTCCAGAACTATTATAAAATGTAAAGATTTGCAGGGTTTTATATTACTTCGTGGAGTGGCTTTAAGCATATGCTAAAAAGCAAAGGCACGTACAAAGGGCACGGGAACTTTTCTGAGAGGGCATCATAAACTTGTAACAGAAGGGGTTTTTTGGCTGCAGTTTTCAAACTACAACATTCTGGGGACTCTTACTCTGTCTGTCTCCCCCTGCCCCCGCATCTGCATGACATGAATCCAAGCAAGATGAGAGTAGGGGCTGTGTGCCTTGAGTGGGAGATCAGAGTGCAGGGGGGCTGGGTGAGGGATCCTCCTTCTCTCTTCCAAGTGGCTGTGGATGCGTTTGGAGGTGAGAGAGAGAAGTGCTGAGCTGGGTAGGGCAAATGGGCATGGGGTAATATTCAGTACGAGGTGTAACCAGGGAGATTGTGCCATGCAGCAGTCAAGCTCCAAGAGCTGCTTTCCAGGGGAATGATCAAATTCTCTAACCCTTTGACAAAGGTGAATGTGAGTGGAAAGAAAATTCCTGTGTTTCAATTCTTCCTTCTGTGCCAGAGCCATAAATGACAAACCAGTTTGGCTTTAGCCCTCTTGATCAATCTGGTTTGGTTTGTTAAAAATATCAAGTCATTTTACGGGTCTGTGCTTTTATTGCTGTGTGCGCTGAGTAGTTATTTTCATTTATTATTTTACTATAGAACTATTATATAACTATTTTGCACTGGATTGCACCTTTAATAGTCATTTTAGGAAGCAGGGAATCAGATTGTATGTTCTTACTTATTATTGTACAATATTACAATGCTATCACTATAATTGTCATGTTGAAATCTATTTTCCAGATATTTGACATTAGGAACTAATAAGAAAGTTATATAAGATAATAGGATCTTTTAGCAAAATTTCTGATTTTATATTTTAATTGTTGGTCCCTACTCTCCATTTACCTTAATTCATATGTTTCATATGCTTACTATTATCTCGTTAAAATGAGAAGGAAAATTATGAAGAAGGAAAATCTTTTGTTTGTAGTTCCGCTATACTACACCATCTATAATTTTCCTTCTGTGATTTTTTTTCTTTCATTACCAATTTATCACCTGTATGATTTAGTCTTTTGAAAGGAAAGTTTTAGTTCAGCTAAGCTATCATTAGAAGGCCCTTTTCCCAGGATTGGTGTGCTGAAAGAACTTCAGCACAAATATTATTGCTGAGGTTGTGGATTTGATTTTTTCTTTTGTTTCAGTACAGGTCTGAAATGCTGGTTTTGTTAGCAAAATGCAAATCCCACTCATAAAACAGAATCTTTATCTGTGTGTCTTAATGTATTTAATAAATAGTCCAAAGTTAAACAGATCCAGATGCTTACTGCTATTTTATGTGACAGTACTGCGACAGTTGATATGTTCTGTTTTGTGAGAGCAGCCTTCTGCTCAGACATATCATCCTCTTCACTGATTTTTAGTTGTGTCTAGGCTGAATTTCACTGTAGATGGAGCTGTATCACACATAAAACCAAAAACCTATTAAACCGAAAAATCTATTAAATTTGCTGTTGGCAGTTAAGGGATCTAAATCACAATGAAGAAAAATCCTTGATAGTTGTCATCTTGCAGGCAGAATAGTGGAAAAGGCAAAGCCAAGAAATCACGTGAGTGGCCCCAGGAGACTCCTCTCTGAAGGAATGTTGGTATTGGGAATGCCCAGTAAGCAGATGTTATAGTGCCAAGTCTGCCTTCCCTGCTTGGAAACAAAGGGAATTGTGGAGCATCCTCTCACAGAAAAGAGACTGTGTTGTTGGGAGAGGTGAAAGTCACTGCAAATTACAGGCTGCCAAACCTTGTGTAATTTTAAAACCACTGATAGATTACCTTCTTTGCCTTTTGGATAACAGGAGAAGTTGGGAGACTGTAAGAAGGAGGACTGCATTTTCCTTTGGTTTATTCCTTTCAAGTTGGCCACTTACACGAGCACAAAGTGTCAAGTTAAACATTGGCTGTTCTGATTTCATATTGCATTTACACTCCCTTTGCAGTGGTGAAATACCCACTTGAATTGGTGACACCAGATCAATCAGCAGCAAGAAAAGCTGGTTTTGCCTCTCAGAAGTGGGGAGTGAGACAGAGGAAACATGGAAACCCTGCATGGCTGGTTAGGTGTCCTTTGATGCTGGCACTGTGGACTGGTTCTCTCCCACTTATCATAAGAATGGCAGTGATTTTCTGCTTGTATGGTGTAATCGAGGCATTTTTCTCATTCTGTCCCCTCTGAATCCTCAGGGTTTCCAAAACAACCCCACACAGTTTTAGAGGAAGCACTTGAAAGAAAAATTCTGGCACTTTGGACATGGAGGAGAGAAAGTACAATACAGAGGAGAGGCAGTGGAGTAAGAAACTCAGAACTAACACTGCTATAAGACATAAAAAGTGTTAAAGTGCTGAAAAGAAATATTTTCTGGCTACAGATTGAAAACAGTATAGAAAGCCAACTGTGTTCTAGGCTGATCCCCCAGCGTGGGCAGCAGGGCAGGGGGGGATTCTGCCCCTCTGCCCCTCAGGGGAGACCCCCCTGCAGAGCTGCCTCCAGCCCTGGGAACAGCCCAGCAAGGACATGGAGCTGCTGGAGCCAGTCCAGAGGAGGCCCCAAGAGGATCCGAGGGCTGGAGCAACTCTGCTGGGAGGAAAGGCTGGGAGAGTTGGGATTGTTCAACCTGGAGAGGAGAAGCTCTGGGGTGACCAAATTGTGGGGGGCCTGGAAGGAGTCAACAAGAAGTCTGGAGATGAACTGTTTCCAAGGGCCTGGAGTGGCAGGACGAGGGGGAATGGCTTCAAACTGAGAGAGGGCAGGGTTAGATGGGATATATGGAAGACATTCTTCCCTGTGAGGCTGGTGAGACCCTGGCACAGGTTGCCCAGAGAAGCTGTGGCTGCCCCTGGATCCCTGGAAGTGTCCAAGGCCAGGTTGGATGGGGCTTGGAGCAACCTGGGCTAGTGGAAGGTGTCCCTGCCTGTGGCAGGGGGTGGAATGAGATGATCTTTAAGGTCCCTTCCAACCCAAATCATTCTATGATTCTATGATTACACACAGAGAGGTCCAATCACCTTGCTATCATCCTTCCCCCTCGATATAAACTGTATCTGTTTACCTATTTTTCAGTCAGACAAGTTTTTTCTTGAGCTTGACCCTCATTCTTCCGTTTTATTATATGTTCATAAATGCTATGTTCACATTAACTGAAGTTTAATATTATAAAAAATTCCTAGTTCACTTTCATTTTTCAAAAGTCTTGTAGCTTGAATGTTTTAACTTTCAGATGCTGAAAATTCCTCAGGTAGAAGAGTTGAGCTTTTGTTTGCAACTCTGGCAGAATGGGCCATCTGTCTCTCTCAGCCAGTTCCCTCTAGAAAGTAGGATATTAAAGTTCCTGTGTCTACACTGGCACAGAAGACAAACAAGATTTTTCTTTCTGAGACTTATGTTTTCTAAAAATACCAAAGTAGTGGGATAAAAGTGGAGACTAGAAATGGCTTGAGAAGCAACTTGTTCTAAATATTTAAGCCTTGTGTTATTCAGAGCAGAAACATGGACTTTAATCCCCTCTTATACTAAAACTGTACAAAGGTCCCTTCTTGCTTAACACAATCCTCATGCACAGTTGTTTAATAGCTGTAGAAAGGAAAAATCTCCTGGGTGTCTTAAGAATCAGGAGTGTTCACTGGCCCAAAAGTCTCTGAGTTTCTGTCTCTAAATTTAGATATGCTCTTTTTTTGTTAATAAAAAGAAGTAGCAGCCCAAGAAATGAGCTATCCCATGGGTTTCCAGGTGTTCTGTTTTTAAACATCAGCCATTTTCTTGTTACGGAAGTGTGTTCCATTGTAGTGAATTTATTGCTTGAAGACATGACTATCTTGATTACTCCTTAAACATGTATGTTGATGCCAGGTGTCTGTGAACTGGTGGCTGAGAAACTGTATCTTAGGTTTTTGTGTTTATCATAGAATCCTGGAATGGTTTGAGTTGGAAAGGACCTTAAAAATTATCTAGTTCTACCCCCTCTGGTGGTTGATTTATAATTTTATGTCAGTGTGGTGCTCTCAAGTGGCTTCTTGAGGCCCTAGTAGAACAAGGGAAAGGGAACCCAGCCTTTCTGTTAGTGCATCACAGCCCGAGCATTGTCTTTATCAACATTGTGTTGCATTCCTGTGGTTAGTGTTGTAATCACATTTTGAGATCCACAATCTGGTTCTTAGTACATTTGGGCATTGGTTTTCCTCCCCCAAATGGGTTATTCTCTGAAGAGAGGTTGGAGGTTTTGGTTGCTTTGTTTTGTGTCACGTTGAATTTAGTCTCTTTCATTTCAGACCACTTCCCTGATCTGTGATTTTGAATTCTGTTCTTGTACTCCAAAGTGTTTACAGTCTGTCCCAGCTTGGAGCCATCCATAGGTTTTATTAATATATTCTACATTCCAGCATCTAAGCCTTTGGCAAAACTGAGAACAGAAGTAGGGCCCTGTTTGAAATGCCTTTCGTCTATTAAGGCAGCTTAGGTGGCATTGCTTGTCCTGGAACAGGCTGTAGGAAGCAGAGGTAACTTTAGGTGGAAGATTGAAAAACGTTGACTTTGTCCCTCAATAAAGTTGGACAAATGAATCAACTTGACTCACCAGTTATGTAGCCCCTATCTTAACCCTTTTTGCTCGTGTGATTGGAGAATAAGTCATCATTTACGGGCATTTGACATTTTTAAGACCAGTGTAAGTGGTCATGTTACACCAGTGGGGAGGTTCACCAAACATGAGTGAGTGAGCAGCCAGCACTGCTGCCAGAGCTGTGGGTAGTGCTGAACACCAAACAGCCCTGCCTCTGGTGGACTGTGGGGTGAAGTCACAGCCCCACAACTGAAGTTTGAGGGGTTTGGAATGTTACAAAGTGTTGGGCCGTTTTCCATGGGAGCAGTGGAGCTAATTAGATAGTTCCCATGGACACAGCCTTGAGTTATAAGGAGGACAGGGTTGAATCTGTTTGGCTGAAGTGCAGGTGCGGCATTCCTCGGTGTTTTTGTGGGAATATGTTTGTGTTGTGTGTGTGGGAAAGCAGAAGTGGGAGAACTGAATGAAAAGCTGCCTGCTGCGCTGAGCAGGCAGACATCTCTCTGGCTCTTCATCCTGGTGTGTGTCTCTTCATCCTAGTGTGTGTGTGTCACGTGTCTTTCTTCCCCCACAGGACCAAGGCCTCCCACAGGTACCCCACGACAGTGGACCTGGCACTTCAGACTCGCAGTGCAGTTTTTTCTGGCATCTGCTGTGTGCTGGTGGTGAATCACATAGGTAGGAAGGTGCATTTTCTTTTTAAAACATATCAAACTGTACCTAAGCTCTTCCAAATGTGGAAGGCCAACAGCACTCCATTAAGTTACGTCAGCTCAAATTCACACTTTTACCTCTGTAGTGATTCACAGAATGCATTTTCCCCCAACTTTGAACTACCGATTTATACACAATGTGTGTTATGCTTCCAATATTTTTTGTTGTCTGGCTTTATTTCTGCCATCTGGTTTTGTTCTTGCTCAGTCAGGCGTGCTGTGGCAATCTGCAGGCACTGGAGTGATTTGAATGGCACAAATCCAGCAGTGCTGGTCTCACACAGCACTGCAGCAGCGTGTCTGTGGGTTTGGTGTGCAGGTGCTGGCTGTTGGCACCTGTGCACGGAGACTGATGAGTTCATTCCATGTTGTGTGCAGCCTGTTTCCATGTGTCACGTGCCACGAGGCTGAGGCACAGCATGAGATCTCATTTTGCGAAGCCCAAGGATGGATTTCTCGTGAAGTGACGGGAAATGACCAAATTGAATGTCTCCATGGAAGAAAACATTACTTGAGAATATTAGACTAGTTTTTGCAGGTACATATTTATGAGATTGGTGAATTACTTTAAAACTTTATATAATGTTATAGTCAAAGATTTACTGCAAAACTTATGTATTAACTTCTATTTCTCTTAGTCCTAATATCTTGTACCAATGTTTCCTTCAACTCTCTCTTCACACAGTAGTTTAATTAAAATACTGTCATATTTTGACAACGCTTCCAAGTAACTCATCATTTTGTTTTTACTCTTGTTTATACCGAGCAGTTGTGAAATACTTAATTATGCATTTTGTATGGCTTCCCCAGTTCTAACAGAAAATCTCTTTTGTCCTGTCTCTCTTTCAATAAAAGAATGCAACCAAGAGTAATCACTGGGATTACTATGATTAGCAATGTGATGAGAATCTAATTGTAAGAAATATGCTAATGTTCAATTTGTTTTTACTGAGCCACTTTGACAGTCTAAAAGGCAATTTATATGCATTAGTAATAATAACTATGAATTTATGTTACGGATCTGTCCAGAAGTCCTCTTTGGCAGTGGAGGTGAATTGTACTTGGAGTTCTGTCAATGCTCATGTTGCATTTTCATAGGTTTAGGTTCCAGTTACTGAGTAAACATAACTAAGCCGCAGTTTTCCAGATTTGCAGCTCTGTTCCCATTTTAGACACCTCTCTGTGAAGGTGATGTCTCTGTACTGCTGCCAACCAGTGTCTTCCATGGTGAGCGTTAGCAGTTACCTGTTCAGGCCTTGAATTAGAGGTGAAGGAGCAGGGACTCAGGAGACAGAAATCTCTGAGGATACAGGGATGGGATCCCAGGCTGGGGAGGTAGAGCCATGTCTTAAGGGAATAGGAGAAGACATAGACTAGGAAGCTGGAGGCCCAGTTTGGGGTACACAGTGGGAAGAAAGGTTGAGTTGTGATGCTGATGTCCCCTGTTTAGGAAGGCAAGAATTGCAGACTCGTCTCTCTGTGTAACCCTATACTATTAATTCAGGTGGTCCTTGATCTTGCTTGTAAACACAGAAACAAAATTACTAGTATGAGTTTGTTTTATTGCTTCATTCAATCACAAATGCCTCCTACAATGACTGATAGAGGAGATAGAAATTAAATATTTATCCAAGCAAACAGAACAGCTACTGCATTTCAGACGGTGCCAACCCAGTACTGGCTGGAGAGTCTGAGCCTTTGTATTTTATGTCAGAAGTTTACTTTAAGGTATATGAGCATCAGGGGTTTTTTTGGGTGGCTTTGGGAGAAGCTGTGAACGCCTTTGCCCATCTTGCTCAGGATGTGCACACACACTCACCATCCCCCCCCTCCCGCCCCGGGCACACCCCCTCCCATTTCTGAAATAGTTTGCATTCTGTTCCACATTCTAGAGGAATGACTTTCAGAAAGAGGACCTAGTAGGTGGTCCCTGAGATATTTGCAATCAAAGCTGTAAATAAAACCCGGGAGGTAAAGGTATGTGCAAGGATGAGGGGTTTCTGTGTTCCCTTCAGATCACAGGGGTATCACTGTATGTGTTCACTGTGAGCTGGGTGTGTGAGAGAGGACTTAATAATGACCTTTCTTGGAATGTTGAGACAGAGAAGAACCTGATATATTTTGAAATTTTTGGGTGAGAATTGTCATACATCTAGTGGAACTGAGCAACTGGCTTTTGTGTTTCAGACTTGTTTTCTCCTTGCTGTGAATGAAGATAGTATGAAGTTGCTGGTCATACGTAGGATTATTGGGATCTCTTCAGTGGAATTGGTCTGAACTGGTAGGAATAAGCTGTTTTCTGTGAAACGACAGGGAAGATAAAAACACTGGAAAAGGTAACTCCAGTTGGGAAAGACTGTATCTCACAGTGCAACAGGGTCTTATATGCATTGCTTCCTTTGGGTACAGGAACCACTGCAGTTGCCACTGAACAGGCAACCCAGAACTCCTCCTAGACATGTGTCCCAGTATTTTTTCCTTGCACTGGCACTTATCTGACTTAGGAAAGTTGACCAAAGTAATATTGGGCATGGTTACTTTTTTGTTGGATTGGCTGACAGAAGCTAATCTCTGGGAAAACCTGCAGTGGCTGCATCTGCAGGAGGGTATCTTTGGAGCTGCTGGGAAGGAAACAGTGGTGGGAACACCCCTTTATTAGCCTGTTCTTTTTCAGCAGCTAGCTATTAGACTAGCCTAAAAGCACTGTAAGATTGTACACTGATGATGTTCCCACACTGATGATGTCTTTTTTCTTCCCCCATTGGTTTCTTGGCGGGCAGAGTGTCCTGCCACTGCAATCCTGCTGCAAGGGCTGTCTTGAGTTTCTCAATTGACTGTACTGTGGCAGGATATCAGTCATAGAATGGTTTGGGTTGGAAGGGACCTTAAAGATCATATCATTCCACCCCCTGCCATAGGCAGGGACACCTCCCACTAGCCCAAGTTGCTCCAAGACCTGTCCAACCTGCTCTTGGACAATTCCAGGGATGGGGCAGCCACAGCTTCTCTGAGCAACCCGTGCCAGGGCCTCCCCACCCTCACAGAAAAGAATTTTTTCCCAACATCCCATCTAACCCTGCCCTCTGCCAATTTGAAGCCATTTCTTCTTGTCCTGTCCCTCCAGGCCCTTGTCCCAAGTCCCTCTCCAGCCCCTTTAGGCCTTGGAAAGGGCTCTCTCTCCAGGCTGAACAGCCCCAGCTCTCCCAGCCTGTCAAATGCTTTCACCTGTCAGCTGGTGTTCGTCATCTTTGTGTTCTTGGGATATTTGTGTTCCTGTTGGTCTGGCTTGTGTTGAGTCTTTGTTTTGTATCTTGTTCTCTACTCTTGTAGTGCAAGTGCTTGGACAAACTGTAGCTTGCTTGTAAGAAGTGAAATTTTAATATGTGTCTAGGTAGAAATGCCCAGTTATTTCTATAAGCAGGGATTACAGAGGTGGGCGTCTTGAGCAGACGAACGAGACAAGTGCTGGGATCATTCTCAAGATGCCTCAAGAGAAAAACAAGCATAAGCATTCACACTCTGACTGGTGACTAAATACAGAAAAGGAAGAGGGCAGAAGCAGGCACAGGTATTCATCACAATTTAAGTAGTATTTCACTCACCAAATTACTATGTCTCATGAAATTCAGCCTATTTCCCCCTCCTGGCTCTGTCCCCCATGTTTGTTGACAGATGAAGGGTTAGCAGACTGTTAGCATTTTTCACATGTTTGTGTTATCGAGCCTGAGACCTGCCTGAAAACTTTGTGGTTTGTTTTTGTTTGTTTGTTTGTTTGTTTGTTTTTGTTTGTTGGTTGATTGGTTTTGTTTTTGGTTTTTTTTGATTGATAGTCAGAGTCTCCTGAGAGTTTTCTGGGATTTCTAATGCTTTCAGAACTGCTTCTGCCTACTTGCTCTGGTTTTTTGAGCCTGCCTTGCCTCTCAATTGCCTGACATGATAGAGAAAGCTCAGGATTTTAATACTTGCTGTCAGCAAGAGGTCTGGAGAGCAGCATGTCTGGAGCTCCAAGAAATGTTGATTCTTCAAATGTCTTTTCATTACAAATTCTGCAAATGAAGTCTCTGACCTTCAGGGATGAAATTGTTCCAGGGGAAGGAAGGGTCAGCACAGTAATCTCATAGGTATGAAAACCTTCTGCAGGGCCAGTCAAAAATGACAGTTTTGAAAAACGGGACATGTAAGTGTCAGGGATAATTATAGGCAGGACATATATATATATATATATATATAAGGAGTGGGCTTAGAGTCAACCACTTTTTTCGGTGTTTTCCTATCTTTAAAGTAATGTTGAGACAGGAACACACGTAACAGAAAAATACAGATTTTTTTAATATGTGTAGAACTGAAATGTAAGCATAAGTCTGTGTGAGTTAATGTTCTGTTAGAGTTACTGAAGTGTCTGAATTTCAGCTTTTGAAATGTCCCTAAGTGTTATGCTATCCTCAGATGGCTAAAAGCTGCTGTTCTTATTAATTTTGTGACTTGTGTAGCTCCTGGTGGCTTGGCTTCATATTTTTATTTAAGATATGGAAATTTTAATTGATGAGGGATTGTAAAGTATTTTGTGTTCTTCAAAAAATTGGTACTAAATGAATTCAATTATAACCTCTTCCAAAAGAAGTGACAGAGTTACATGCTTTCATATATAAGCAGATGAAGTCCTTCTGTTGGTTTATTTATGAAAACAATCTGGAGAGGAGAAGGGAAGTTTAGGCTTGTAACAGATAACAGCAGACATTTGCTTGATTAAACATTTCAAAGCCACCTCCATCCACAACAGAATAATTCAATTTGAAGGGAAAAGCAACATATATTTTAAAGTTATACTCTACAATTCATCTAGGTGTAGGACTGCCACACAGGTTTTTCAATAGGTTTTGCTGCTGTGAGTTGTTTTATGGCTAATGTGATGATGCACATGAATTCCTGTGAGCTGTGGTTGGGCTGGAGGCACTGGAATGACTCAGTTTGCCTGAATGCTGGGTCTAGTCTGGCGCAGACCCAAGACAACTGTGTCCCATTGACAGTGAGATGAAGGCTGCTCTAAAGCTTCACAGGGGCTGTGAATGACCACTGACATTCATGGAAGCTGACTGCAACAAATGATGTTTTTAAAACAACAGAAAAAACCGGCCTCTAATTTGGGATGCTAATTATAGTAGGAATATTCACATGAACCACGTTTGTAGAAGATGTTCCTCCTGCTGCTGAGGCTGTGAGAGCCCAACACCAGTCAGGAAAGTCCTGTCAGCTGGTGTTTCACACGAATTCATCAGCAGTTCTGACACTCTGCTGATATAACACACAGACCCAAACACCCCCACAGTGTTAGTGAGTAGAGGTGCCATGTTTGTGATTTAGTAGCCCTATATATCATTGTAGTGTCACCAGCCAACACTTGCTAGCATGGCTTCTAGGAGGGAAGGACAGAAGGGATCTTTAAAGCGAGACAGAAGATGTGATGAAATGAGCTGAAATCTCCTATGGTTCTTTCACTTCTGTAAGTTGTTCCTGGATACTGTGCATGAACATAGGATAAATTTTCCTTAAACATGTTCCTTTATTCTTTTGTGTGGCTTAAACTTCTTCTGCGTTAAGGTGGGAAAAAAGGTGGCAAGAAGTGTGTTGTTTGTTACTGTGGAAGGGGGCAGAGAACACTTTTTGCACACCAAGAGTGTGTTCAGTGACTTCACCAAGGTCTCACCTCAGCCTTTAGCTGTCTCTCCAGGGAGCCTGTGCAGTCCCTCCTAACAGAGGGTAATACATCACTAACATGAAATTCTAGAAGTAAAGCAAAGGAACAAAACAACTCAGCAGCAACAACAACAACAACATTCCCTGAAGTCATGAGGCACCAATGCCAGTATCTACAGAACATGTTTTGTGCTCTCTCAGTGCTGCTGCCCCTAATCCTTTCTCACAGAGCCATGCATTCTCTCTGTGCCCCGGCTGAGGCCCCAGCTTCTGACACACAAATGTGTGTTCCTTGGAAGTACATACACAGCATCCTCATTCCAGCCTGAGAGGCAGTGAAGGAGGAGGAGGAGGAGGAGGATCCCTTTATCAGAGATGTTCAAAGTGGAGAAGCGGCACCTGTTCTGGCAGGCTCCAGCAGGAGACCAGTGAGGGACTGAGACCCCATCTAAAGTCAAAGAAATATTTATGACTCTTTCCAAAAGATATTTTTGCTTGTGATCCATGGTGATTTCAGCACTCTTTTGTGTCTGTGCATATCATAAAGACTGTAAGACACATTTCACTCGAGTAGTATGTGCAGAGAGAGGAGCTGGATCTCACGCCTGCTGTTCATTTAGTTTCCAAATAAGAACCATGCCTTGTAGCAGCAAAGCTGTGCTGTGACAGGTTCTTTCCCCATCACCTCACTCCTACCTCACCCACATAACGAACCAGGATTTGGGTCAAGTGTTTATGAAGTCAGCTATCCATATGGATTGGGTGTCTGTGGGAACATGAATGTTTAATCAGACATTTGTTAGCAAGCTAAAGAGGTGACATTATGCCAAGCACTGTGCTGTCAGAACATTCCCTGCCTGCTATTGCTATGGTAACAACCAACAAATACCTGCTTGTTCTGTGTTAGCATCTGAGCTGAAGGAAAACCTCCAAACAATAAATTCTGAGCATCTAGTGTCTGGAATGGAACCAAAAAAAGGTACTACCATTTTCTAAACCTGTTTGCCTGACTGATAGGTTTCTTCAGGAACTCTTTCTGTTGATCATCAAGGAGCAGAAATGGATAGCACATCCGTTAACCAGCCACATGGGCTGAATTTTAATTGAAGTTGTTGGGCAAAAATACTCATCATTTCTCAAGAGTTGGCCCAAATATGTTCATTAAAAACTCAGTGAAGCATATATATATATATATATATATATATTTCAAATAGCAAAATACTGTGAGCCAAGTGCTTCCTCTGAGGAATACATTGCTTCCAATATTAATTTGACTG